ATCATACACTCTTACCTGGAAGCAAGTTCTGTTAAACTCAGTGGGACATACTTCTGAGTAGACATGCAAAGGATAACGCTGTAAAATCTAATAATATAACTTCATTAACAAACAAAACATTATGTTTTATTACATGGCATCTAAGCTCTCTGGCAAGTTTACAGCAACACATATAATACAATAAAATATGAAATATAGGTAGCAATGAAAACATTATAAAATTTCACTTTAGATTTTTAATACCAAATTTAACTACTACAACAGCTAACACAGGTTAAAACAACAAGGCCTATTAAACAGCTGACATAATAGCCCAATAGACTATGCAGAGCTTTTATATGCTTTATCTAAGAAAACAGGCTTAACCTGGCAACAGCAATATAGTAGAGCCGGCACCAGGTGGGCCTCAGTAGGGAGCTTCCTCCACAGTTGGAGGGCTGCTCGCCTCCTGGTTCTTACCCAACGCACTTCCCTTGAGGGTGACAGTCAGAGGCAGTGGGCTTACAAACCACCACTGTATACATGGCTTGTTCCAGGATTGCAGGCTGGTTTGTAAAGTACCGGTAACTTCACTAGGTTTGTCCAATATGACAAACTTTGCATGGCATGGCTAATTATGAAAACTGCACGGCATAAAACCAGCACACATAGGGCAGGAAAATAAGCCCTGGTGGCAGCTTGTATTGTACAAACCCACCTATTGTGAATATTCAAGCCCCAGCATGCAGCTGAAGCAGCTTATCATGTCATACAAAACTGTCAAGAGCGGTATGATACTGTAGATAACAAACCACCCCCAACTCATGGGCTGTCGGATTATGGGTGATTTGTTAGCTATTGAAGTACCTAATCCAACCGAATCTTGGAAGCTAAGCAGGGTCTGTGGCCTGGTGGAAATCTGGATGGGTGACAAACACTGTGAACAGCAACCTCGGAGACAGCCATGCTTGGAACTCTTGCCTGTTCACTGCAGTGCGTACAAACTCTACTCATGAACTGCTCTGCCTTGGTTTTTCTGGGAGAAGCATCACTCCTTTCTCAGCAAAGTTGCCACTACATGAGAGGAGAACATGGGCTGTGCAAGTATTGCAAAAAGCCTGTGTCCCCGCTCTGGCTCCCAGCCTTTCCCTTGCTCCTGTGTTTTCCCTGGCTTTTCTCAGAACTGTCAACAAGCCCTGCTCTCGCCTCTCTGCTGCTCCATGGACCCTCCCACCACCCACCACTGCCAGGCATGAGGCACAAGAGATTTGTACCATGACTTCCCAATGGATCTGGGAGAACAACCATGGAAATTCCACTGGTAGAGCCTCCAGCCCAGCATGGATTGGCAGTAGCCATGTTACAGTGCCCCTGAGGACTTCCTGTCCACCCCACAGAGAAATGTGGGGGTGGTGGATGGGGCCATGGCCTAAATGCTTCCTAGTTCTCCGTGCCCCTAGTGCACTGGTGCAAGCTAACTATGAATGTAGACTTGTAGGCATATGTCTGTGCAGCGAGAGAGCAGGCAGTGCCAGGTGTGGAGAACAGCAGAAGGACGGACCTGTGTCCAGTGCCTGATGCCTGCTAGCATGAGACAAGGTGCTGCGGGGAGTGGGGGACAATGCATGGGTGCGGCTGTAGGGTTGCAGAGCTCACATGCCAGCACAACAGACCGCTAGAGTCATTAACATCCGGCATGCTTTTCTTTCTGGCACAGTCACCCTTTCCCTGAACCCAAGTCCCCATGGTACCAAAGAAACAAAACCATGTTCTGAAATGGAGTGTGGTTCTAGTGGAAAGGGCCAGCTTGGGGTTGGGTGAGGGATGGCACCAGATGGGCAGGGGGACCAGAGCAAGCTGCTTCCACACGACATTGCAGCAAAGGCAGAGGGGGCTTCTGAGGGTGGGGTGCAGGGCACCCAATGGGGCTGGGTTGTGGCTGTTGCACAGGAGGAGCTGGAAGAGGGCCCAGCCTGCCCATGCGAATGTCCTCTGTGTGCCTGGCTGCAAGGAGGCAGCCTCTTCCAGTGTGTGCAAGTCCAATGCACAGGGGAGGGTGGCCACATCTGCAGCGAGGGAGAGGCAGGGAGGAGATGGGGTGTGAGTGGCACAGGGTGTACATTGGCAGAGAGTGTAGCAGTACAGAGGACGCTACTCTACATCAACAATGCCAGTCTAGTGAATAAGTGGTTCCCTCAACTGAGCATAGAAAAAGTAAGACCAGTTGACTTAGGAAACTCCCAGGGAAGTGTGTAGACCAATGAGAGAGAGGTGGGCAATTGAGGCAAGAGCAGTCCATCCTGAGATTGAATTTCAGCCATGAGGGTTGATGGGATACTTGCCACCACTGGAAAAGGAATGATGGAAGAAGGTGGGAACCATGGAAACCACATGCTTGCCTGAACCAAAAAACCAGGTAAGAAACCACATCATACAGCCATTCCCTTGAGAGGTATTCTGTATAGGACATTGGTAAGGAGAAAAGAGGATGTTCTAAATCAATCCCTATTTTATAATGTTCATTAATGTATAATGTACCCTATTTTATCTCATTTTTAAAGTCCCTTTATAAAACCTCTGAAATGTGGAACCAATGGGGCCCGCATGCTCCCCAATCCTTCCCCTCACAAAAATATTTTCACAGCTAATTTTCACAGCTGTTTTGCAGAAAAGATTGTCCTTCCCTACTTTACTTAGTTTAAAAACCTAACTTTTGACCAAGTGTGATTTTGCTATTTCCACCAAACTACAAAGTGGCCACTGCAAAGGGACTTGAAACTGATATGACAGCAAAGGAAAGGGAGGTCAAGGTTTTAATTCTTCTTGCTTTTCTCAGATTTCAAGATCTTAAGCTTTCCCCTGAGATAACAGTGTGGATTTCACAAAAGATCCTGAGAAGTCTGCTCATATGACACAAAATAATAAAAAAGCAGTCCCCCCAAAGTTGCCTGAGAATAGCATCAGAAGGGAAGAGAGAGAACAAAGTAGGTCAAGCAGTAAAAAGTTAGAAAGGACTAAATAATGCTACCTTCTTCAATGTTACATCGACCTTCTTACCCACATTTTGATAAATGATACATGTAAATATAAAATCAGAACAATAAGACATTTGTCAATGCTGAAGACACAGGTAAATCAAAGCTCCAAGCTTAGTTCTGAAAACTGCATAAAGTGCCACCTAGAACTGACACATGTAATAGATATAAGAGCCAGCACTGTATATTCATGAATCCGTAGCCACAGGTAGGACTCTAAAATATGCATAATCTCAGAATGAGATGGTCTAATAAGCAATGACCATGGAAACAGTTCTGGGGTTTTATAAATGTTGGATGACTTAACCCAGCATGAATGAAATAGCTGCTCATGCCAAAGCACAACAGTGCAATAATATCAATGGATGGGAGCTGTAGATTAGATCAGAACTAGAGAGCCAGTGCAGTGTAGGAGTTAAGAGGGCGGCACTAGGACTCAGGCGGTCAAAGGGTTGTTGTTGTGAGGATAAGATCAAGAGGAGAATTATGTAAGCTGCCCTGGAATCCTTGAAAAGGAGAAAAGGGAGGAGATTAAGATAGGTAGATAGATAGATAGATAGATAGATAGATAGATAGATAGATAAACAGATTGATCGATCCCATCTTCACCCATAACTATGCATTGGGAAGGGTAGCAGACAAGGAAAGAACATTTATCCTCTCTGAACTTCTCAACTAGCTGGATTATGCCCTTGCTAAAAGATGCTAATTTCGCTGGGCAGAAAAGAAAGCTGATAGGAAGAAAGGTGCATTCAAAACATAATGTTGGTGGAGAGCTTTGTGAATACCCTGGACCAACAAAAAGACAAACAAGTAAGTACTTTATCAGTATAACCAAGCTGCCATACGTTGAGCACAGCATGAGAAGGCAAGACAACCATGCTAGGCAAAGTCGAAGGCAGAAGAAGAAGGGAAAAACCAACTATGAGGTGGCTCGATTCCACAAAGGAAGCCACAGTGTACAAGAGCTGAAATGAGCTGGGAGGGGCAGGACAGTGTGGACAGCATTTATTCACAGATTTGCCATAAGTCAGAAATGATTTGACAGCATATAACAGCAAATAGATGCTAATTAGAAACTAGTCAAACCCCAAAGGATTCCATGAGTGGGTGCTTTCAGAGATTTGCAAGAGTACAGAATATAGTTCAACACTGAGTTCCAATATTCTTAAATCCTGTACTTTGGCTGTCCTTTCGCAACTAGCTATAGAGTAAGAAAACACACGTGACGACCAGGTCCACAGGACATGGCAAGTAGATTACTTCCCCTGTGGGAGCTTCATGTCACAGATTGTGAGCTGTCCCGAGATGCCATGCATAAGGGATGGCGTATAAACGTTTTAAATAAATAAATACTGTCAGCTATTTTGCATATGCAAGGCACAACAGAGGAACTCCATTGCTTATGTTGTGCAAACCCAGAGAAGGTGGACTGCTGGTGTGGTTAACAAAACACTCACAACCCACAGCAACCCAGCCTCACCAGGACCCACACAACATGACAAGTCACAATACGCTGTTAGAGTTTGCATACACAAAATGGCCACTGGCATGCATCACAGAACCATGTGGTTGAATGAACCCACAGTATCTTATTGCAATAGGCAAACAGGCCCAGTATCATTTGCCCATTTGAAGAAAAGAATTAATGGTGGGAAAAAGGTAAAGTACCCCTACTCTCCTGTTACTTCTCAGCTCTGTATTCCCCTCTCCTTAAAATGATTCTCCTTCATCAGAACTTAAACAAATCCAAGAGTTCGCTACATATGTTTGCATGTCACATGTCATTAATCCTACACAGAAAGGCAGAACACAGTAGAAGATTTGACCTACTTTGCAGGGCTGTTATGAGGATAAAAACTTATTAAAACCAACTCTGAGTCCCTATGTAGAGAGCTGGTGATTGAGACTTCATCATGCTGATAAAATAATAGCAGCAAACTGCTTTCAAAAATATTCCTTTCAAAAACAAAAGGGAAAACTCACCTCTCTCATAGTCATCATCAGCTACTGCCTTCTCTTGAAGCCTTTGAAGTTTTCTTGTTAAGGATTTTATCTGCATTAATTAAAAGACAATTAACAATATCCTTATGCATCTATACGTTCTCTGAATATTTACAGAAGCCTGGCCTAAGCTGTTGTCCTCCAGACTTTTCAGACTTCAGTTCCCATCTACTCCAGCCCTTATGACCTATAATCAGGAATGCTGAGAAATTTAGTTCAAAACATCTGGAGAGCACCAGGTTAGGAAATGCTTTACATAGTTACAGTATAAAAATTACATATCTGATCATAACAATTCAATTTTTTTCAAGTTTACCCCCACTTCACTCACTAATTTCTGAAAATATGCATTCTATAAAAACCACTGTTTTCAAAAGCAGAGCAAAACAGTTTATGATACATTAGAAAAGCATGTGTCAAACTCTAACATTAGACAAGCTTCATGTTTTACAAGCTTCATGTTTTACATGTGACAATTTCCACTCATATGAAGCTCTGAAAACACCATCCAAGCAGCACTGCCACTGTCTCAACTTATTCATGTTTCATCAAATAAATGTAAAGTTAAACAATAGTACATTTCCTTTATTTAGACAGGGCTGAAAGCATGTAGCATAGCCAGTGAGTTAAGAAGCAGCAAATTGAAGAAAAGGCCATTGTGAAAGTCAGATGGAAGAGTCAGGGTGAAACTATGAGAGAAATAGGCAAGGAAAAGCCTAGCATACAGCCTAACGGTAGAAAATGAATATGTAGAAGACAGGAGAATGTATTTCTGGGAGCCAAGAATCCAAGAAGACCAATGAGACGGTAATAGAGTAACAATGGGACTGAATTTCAGAAATTGATTCCACCTTATTAGCCTTATTTTCATAAATGTACTTTCTAATCCTCAGTAGAATTACCACAAATAGGTGTTACAGTAACTGTTTCTTGTCTTGCATTACAACCTATGGGTTGATTTCTTTAAAATCCTATAGCACAAAGTAAGTATGAAGCAGTCTCCAACCTTGATTATACTTCGGTTGCCCAGTAAGCAGTCCTGTAGCACTGATTCATATTTCTTTGACAAAGAATCCCAGCTGTGATCAGTAATAGTATTACTACTTTCATAGCCTGAAGTCACAGAAGACGCAGCAGATGCTGCATCCAAAGAATCGGTGGAATGGGAAAATGGAGCATCTGCATGCAAAAATGAGTGTGTCTCAGAATCCTGCCATTTATCATGCTCTGCAGAATCCCTGGGGCACCAGCAGTCTTCACCACACATGTAGTTGGATGAAGCCCACAATTTTTTCTCTGAAGTTCTTTGTACCTCTCCAGGCACAGGAAAATTAACATTTTCTGCTTTTCCTAAGCCACACATTTGTAGAACTTCCTTAGGCCGAGTACATTCTGATGGGACTGCAACGTCATTTCCTTCTGAAGATGAATTTAGTGAGAGCTGTATGAAGCTAAAACTTGAATGAAAGCAATCTTGAGAACTGGAAGAGCTCAATGCACTTTCTTTGGCTGAATATTCCTGGATGTTCACCTCCTTCTGACTCAAAGTATGCATTCTTTCCTCCTCCTGAGAAGGATCGCCTTTACAGACAGCAACGAGAGGACAAACAGGCAGGATTAAATTTTCTGGTTGCTGCTCTCTGAGATTGGCCTGGTATGTGAGACTTTCTGCTGCATTTCCAGCGGTACGTAATCCAGGTGCCACATCCAGACCAGCTTGAGTACTGTTCATGTATGAGCTGCAATGGAACAATCCCAGCTCAGTTTTGCATTGTCTCTTCTGAGAGCAGTTCTTAAAATCTCTGTAGTTTGTTCTGCCACGACACTCAAGTCCCTCTGGGCTGAATGGTTCACAGTCAGAAGGAAGCTGAAATTCAATCTGCTGCAGTGCCTCGGTTCTCATGTATCCTGGCCTCTTTGCCACCTTCTTTTTGCAAAAGAAGCCCGCAGGCAGTGAACAATACTTGGTGTCTACAATAAATGAAGAGACAAATGGTCATAAAATATTTTCCCTCATAAGGGAGCATTCTCTGAAACAAATAACTAACCTGCAAAAATATACACTGGCTTAGTTTTGAGCAATAAAGTTCTGCTGAAAAGTTGAAACTAAGTGACTGCTAAATGGAGCAACCTAAGTTTAAATGGACCATCTATTCATCCATTCCATCCTGTGAAGCTTTTGCAGGATTGTGCCATGTTTCTCACCACCATCTTTTACCTTTCCTGGTTCTGTCTACTGTTCATTTGCTCCACATTTGTTGATATATTTAAATGAATGCACATTTAAAGTTGCTCCATATCTAGCGCTGAAGCTGGAATAGAGGCTGAACAATGTAGCTAAGTAGGCAAAGAGCCAGTCTGGCTGGTTTTAAATAGGTTGGATGCTATCTTGTTCAGATGGCATCTCAGCCTAGATACAATGGATGCTATTATGAAAAATGTGTATCTGAAATAGGTGGGATTTTTTTAAGGAATGAACTTAAAGATATTGATATGAGAAACTAAAATATTTTTTTACATCTTTGTATCATAAATCTTGGGATTATTCCTGTTATCTATCTCCTTTCGTATAAAACAAGCTATTCAATACAAAAGGAGGCGCAAAGTATAATTAAAGGATCCTGGGCCCTAGAATGGTTTTCAAATAAGGGTGTTAGCTATCATAATATATATTTGGGCATGTATATTGTCTTACATTGCACTCACTACAGATATTCCATAAATGATTTAAATGCGTGAAATGCATGTATAAAGCACACAGCACACCTTTATGAAAAACCATTACTGCAGATCATCCAACTTAATGATCTATGTGTGCCCCATACACTTTTATTTTGCCTTCTATGCCTTTAGAAACTGTATCATCCCACCCCCAACTCATAAGGAATGCCTAATAGAAGTTCCCTAAATAAATAATAAATAAATAATTCAGCTTCTGCAAGTGTGCCTCTTGCCACCATTTTAGGGCCCACATGTTCCTACCTCTTTGGATATATAAACAAGATTCAGACTCATACTGAATCAGATCATTCATTCATCCATCCCTGTGTTTCCTGAATATCTGTGTCTTTCTGGATAGATTGTCTTTCCCCACATCCATGGGATCTTTCCAGCCAATCCCAAATGCCTCAAACCCATCGTGCAAATCACCAACCATGCATCTGCAACCAATCCCAGTATTTCCTCATACTTCTAAATCAGTGGTCCCCAAACTTTTTGAGCTCCTGCCCCTTTTCTTCTTGGGTGACAACACTAACATTCCCATGCCTCTTTCTTTGTATTAGGTCTATTACACTACTGCAAATGTAAAACAAGCAGTCACCACCCCACTGGATCTTTCCACTGCCCTGGGAGACGCAGTACCACCCACTTTGGAAATCACTGCTCTAGATCCTCTGTCATTCCAGCTCACACTTTTCCTCCTTTGGAGAAAAACTGAGGCCTGCGCAATTCTTCCTTCTAACTGCTGAATTGCCACCAGTTTCTAGCCTTGCTTTTTCCTTTGCAGTGTAGACAAAACATCTGCAAAGAACACTGAGCATCTGATAAACAGATGCTGTCTCTTTCAACCTCCTTCCTCCTAGTGTGGTTGTGACAGAAAAGGATAGTACATGTGCATATATATTTAAAAAAACAACAACACCCCCACTACTTTTCCTGTAATTTGCAAAGTCTTTCCTGGCTCTCAGCTACTCAGTGCTAGACAAGAAGTTGTGATTTTGCAAAATGCAAACAACTTTTACCTTGAGAAGCCATTAAAAGTCTTGTCTAATACAAACCATTAGGCAAGACAGATATTTTATGTTAAGCCAAGGGGAGGGGAGGGTTAACCTTACAGAATCTTCTTCAAGTGTACCTTACTAAGTCCTCAAATATAAGACTGCCCAGTGAAGCTAAAGCTCCTGTACAAAGATTACTGAACTACATCAAGTCAGTCACAAAACAATCCAAGTATTAATATTTACTTTTCAAAGGTATATGCGGTACAGGTCAGTAAACAGGTGAGTTCCAAAGACTGAAATAATGCAAGTTCAATTTTTTTTAACTCCAACACACAGCAAGGAAATAAAACAACATGTACCAGTACTTTCCCCGGTGAACATGAAATAGAAAAGTTTATCACTTCATGATGAACTGAAAAATCTTTTGCTACTGTCATTTGGGCTCCTTTGAACTATGTCCTTATGGCATACCAGTTAGTGAAGTACACATTCAGAAGGCAATGACACTGGACACATTTGAAACAGGAGGAACACCAGCTGGCAAGTGGCTTCCTGTTATTCAAATTACTCTAACTAAAGAGTCTTCTCGTAAATTTCCGATTCCCAGAAGATACCATCTGCTGTAATTAGCTTTGGCTCAAGCAAGCCAGTTACACTGTTTTCGAAGGTGGTGGCTGCTTTAAGCTTGTGGGCTTATTTGTCTTGCTGACCTATACATACCTAAGATGATGCAATAAGAATTTACATCTGTGCATGGAGTTGGCCTTTGTCTCATGATTCCTGTATTTCAAGTCATGTTTCTGCTTCTAGTGCTTCTGGTTTCAAATACTACACTACAATTTTTAAACCTCTGGAAACAAAGAAAGAGTTGCCAGAAATCTACTGTCAGTCAATGCCCGTCCCCCACCCAAAATATGGTGGTTTGTACAGTATCATCAGTGCAGAGCTTGGTCTGAAGGCATCACAGGTCAGGGTCTGGTCATTCCCTGGATGGAATACCATTGGGTAACAGTATAATTTATCATAATGATGTATAGTGATGTATTATATTATTAAATGTGTATATGTATTTGTATATAATTTCTATGAATACAAACTATTGTGTATAAATTTATTCTGAATTAGTTCATAAGCATTCCTGCACAAAGCAGGTAGTGTCTTAGTGTCTAATATTGGATAAAGGAGAACAGCAACACTATTGCACTATTAGCAGGTTACATAGCAAGACTCTGGTTTCAGACCTCTAATCTATATGATCTCTTTTTTTAGTCTCTGAGACTAAAGATACAAACGTTTCCATGGGGAGACAAATTAACAAATAAAAAATGTTGTCCTCACACCTTTTAGTATCTACTCATCCAATGCTTCTGGAAGCAAGAGCGGTGGACAATAGGTATTGTGGAACTGAGAGGAGTCTTCGGAGGAAGGAAAGATGAATGGATGGCATGCAGGGATATGGGCAGAAAAGTACAGAACATCATCGTCTAGAATGGTGTGTCAAAAACTAGCAGTTCCATGTGCACTTTTCCAATTTCCACAGTTACTTTACACCCCTTTTTAGTGTGTATACTCTCCTCAAATGCATAAGCCTAATGAAAACAGACAGAGAGACTCCACCTTTTCTGTGCCCAGTACTCAATCATTTGCTCTCCATGTGTCACCGAGAGTCCCAAGCACAAGAAAACCTGAATAATTTGGGTCTCTAATTTATTTTAAAGGCAATTTCTTAGGCTAATTAAAATGTTCCAATCTGAACTATAAAAAAATTAAACATTAAACATGCATTTATATGTCTGGACACATTACTTTGTTGAAGCTCAAAATGTGCTTATTAAGAGTATTTTAGCTGCTTCCATTACCATGAATTTTTTAAAAAGTCTACCTGGAAGAATGTAACGTCTTGTATGTTTGTCCTTCTGTGGGATTATTTAAAAAGCCACACATATCTCATTCTATCTGCCAAGTTACAGATCTTCAGCCTCAACACCACCTCCTTATGCTGTCAAAACACCTGGTGAGTGCTTCAGTGTAAGAGTCGTCAGGCAAATAAAGGGCACTATGACAGCACAGCGGCAGCAACCAATTTAAGGAACAAGCACAGTTTGAGTGTTCCAGCTCAACTATTTGAATTTTTAATTTCACCAGGGGAATATATTGCAAATTAAGTGTCTGACACAGAGTCCATTTGGAACCACAATTGAGTTTACTGAAATAGAAAGCAATCTTCTTTTAGCCACTCAGTAGTGATTGCAGATAATGAGAATAAGACAAACACAGCAGCTGTCATTCACCAAGGACTATAAGTCAGACAGAGCCAAAGTTTTGCACTTCAATTTAATAAAACATTGACTTGCTCATCCAAAGCTACTCTGCAGCGCCATCCATAAGTTCAGCTGGTAGAATCAGCGTGTAACATCCTGATACTTGCAGGAGAAAAAAAGGGGCAGTGGGGGAGGTGTGTTTTCACAAATTGTTTAACATAGCGTAATAACTTTTCTTAATGTTTTTTGTTCAGACATGCTGGGATCCGCAACAGAAATTCCCAATAAATTCAACCCATAGTTATGCCAGTTCTTGTCCTTACAAAAGCTGAGCTGGGGTGTCAAGGCCAGTACATGTTGGTGGTCATTCATTCATGGTGTCACCATAAATCAGAGACGATTTGATGGCACATAAGAAGTTATGATAATTAAGCATTTATATATTAATTGTTTCCACCTGCTCCAATCAAAATGCACATCCCCATTATAAGCATATTTAAAGCATATTTAAAGTTATTCCAGTGTTAACTACTTGCAAGAGCTGGTCAGCAAAATGTTAAGTTTTAGATGCAGGTAAAGATAAAGTTGTAAAACTACTTCAAAGATAACCAGAAAAGAGAGTTTCAAAAATGCAGAGTTTGGTCAATGTTATATTAGTTTGAGCACACATTCATATGTGAAATGATCCTAATCTACTTGGGGGTTGTAAGAACTTTCCAATTTCACCTCTCTGCTCATATAGCTGGTTACAGCTATTATTTTATACTCTGCTGGATTTTATTGATCTGACATAGCTTGAGGCTTCCTGAGAACTTTAATACTTAAATTTATTGTAATTGTTATCTAAGTGTTATTGTCATTACAATTTAACTTACAAACTGCCTTGAATGTTTTATACCAAAGGGGGGCATTCAAAGATGCCATAAATCCATAATGAGGAAAATCAGGTTGCAATCCTATACATTAAATACCTGGGAATAAGTCACTGAACTCAATGGGATTTATGTCTGAGTATATATGCACAGGACTGGGCTGTAAAAAAGATACCCAAAGGCGAACCACAGCTCCTATTCAATGTTGCACATTTGCTAGCCTCCATGCCTGTCTGTCACAACCTGGTGTTTGCCAGCTGGTACAACAATCTTTTCTCATACTTAGAGGAAAATCCAGACTATCTTCCTGCCATTTACAAGTTTCCTTCTGCAGAACAATGTTGTGACATCCTACCTATTATATCACATGTTCCTAACCTTAGATGTGTTCCAACTGTCAGCTATATAATAAGGCTTTTTTTTCTTATTTCCTGATATGACCCAATGCCTTTCTAGGTCTTTGCTAACTCAGAGGCTTTGAACCACCTCCTGTGAGCTACTATAAGCTATGGCCTACTTGCTGGCCCATTACGACAAACTGTTGGAGAGCCCTTGGCAGGAAACAAAGTCAGCAATTAGGTCCTAAAGGAGGAGATGCTGGGTCTCAAGTCCACCTGGAAGCCATCCCTTACCTTTGAAGCAGGAAGCCCTGTGGAATCAGCTTGTGCTCAGTTAATCATGTATTTGTGAGTGGATAACAAGGCTGAGCATTGCAGGTCCACACCAATGGGATTGTATGTGTCCCCTCCACCTGCTAACAGGGCTATTCACCAGCTAGTGCCCTGGGGGAGAACTCTCAAAAAAGGGAAACAGCTGTCCATGTTCCAGCTTGCCTGTCCCTTGCCCCACAGATTGCAGAAGAGAAGTGAAACTGGCCTTGGACTCAAGTGACTTCTCAAGGTACCAGTCTCACTCCACCCTCACCTTGCCTGATTATTTATTTGTTTATTATTAACTTGAATGCTGCCCCATTAGCGATAGGCTATCTGGGCCACTCACAACATAATAAGCAACGTTTATCAGTTAACAACAGTACATTAAAATATTCACAATGTAAAAACAATCAATTAGTAACAATAAAATCGAATTAAATATAAAAAGTAAACAATCTTTGCTTATTTTTGAGAGGATGAGAGTGTGATCCACAAACGGGGCACTCTGACAAAGAAGGCCCTCCTCACCAGCTCCAGCCCTTGCTTCACTGGGGGAGAAGACCCTCCAATGGTGACTTCAGTGATTGGGTTGGTATGTACTGAGAGAATATGGAAGAGAGGGGATGGCAGAGCTGGCTTAGGACTCAGCTAGCACTGTGACAGGCGGTTCTCCCATGTGTGGACATATGTGTGCCTGTGAAACTGTGTATGAATGTATGGGGAGAACAAGTGCGTGAGGATACATGCTTACAGTGGCTGTGGCACCACTGACTTTGTGCCCAGATCACTGCTGGCAGACAAGCAGTGCACTTGTCTGAATACCTTTCACTACATGGGCCCAAACATGGTTGCCTCTTCTATCCCCAGCTGCCCAAGGGAAGGTTGCCAATGCCTTGTTATATGTTGAAACTGTGTGTTTGGGTGTTTAAAAGTTATCTTGACGTTACAACTAAACTACCTTGAAAAGACCTTTATCATGAAAAGTGGGGTGTAAATACATAAAATAAATGCATGCTCTGAAGTACACTATTACCCCTCTACATTTCATAGGGATGAATCCTTGTACAGAAAGTATTTCTGGGACTGAGCTGTGATAAGCCAAGTCTCTTTTTCTCAATAGTATTGGGAATCCAGAGCCCAATGTTTGTTTTGTCTTTGATGTTGTCCTCTATCCTAGCCTGCCATTGTGCCTTCTGTACTCTGTTCAGCTTGCCACTTAGATAGATTTTTGCTCAGACAGAGACTCTCAATATTCCAGTGTCTATGTTCAATTTCCAAGTCCTTGCTATTTTGTCAATAAATGGATCAGTGCCATACTGTCAGGAGATCACAGGACTTAAGCAGCACAGCTGCTATAATGGGAACTTTAGAGCAAGAGGCTCTCTTAAAAAGTTAAATCAGATTATTGTTATTTTTCTATTTCAATTATATTATACATCTCTTAAAAATAACCTGGTTTAAAATTAAGCCTGAATGTAAGGCAAAGAAAATATCAGTCAGCTCCTAAAACTAATATATATGACCATCAGTTGAAGCACACATTCGATGCAAATTAACCAGATGCAAAATTACATGACATTTGAGGTCAAGCATTATAAATATAACCCAATAGGTTGTGTACTGCAATTACTATTGTGCATATTATGAGCAGCAAGTGAATTGACTCTGTCAACCAAACAGCAGGAACATTTTACTTCCCATGTCACTGGAAAACATTGCTCTACCCAACAATTATCTGCCCTCTGAATCTGAATACACAGCCCAGCTCCAAACTACTTGAACTTATGAATGGAACTTCTATAGTTTCCTACTGAAATTCTTAACTTATCCACTTAACAATCCACAAACAAGCTTCTTCTGAACTCAGGAGAGTTTCAACAGTAGTTTTTCATGTAGCATGAGTGTCTGCTAACCAATATATTACTCTATCTCCTCAACATTGTGCAAATATGTCCCTTTATCTTCACCCCCTTGGCAAAAACGCTTGTG